CCTAAAGTTTTTAAGATCTGAGTCTTCCTTATGAATATCTGGTTCAACTAGGAGGTAACTGAAGAGTTTCCACTACCTGTCCATAATTTTCAGATGCTCTCAGCCTAGGACGGTCCAGATCTAGACTTCAGAGGTCCCAGGTACTTTCAATGATTATCTGTTGCTTCTGACAGTGCTGTCTCCCCCCTAAATCCCTGGCCTGGCACATCTGAGTATTATTACAAGGCTTAGTCCAAGCCTAAGTCCAAGCCAAGCAATCTTTGCAGGGGCCAGGCCACAGCCCTGAGCAATGGGCACTGAGGCATGGGAGAGAGTCTAGGAGGCTGGAACAGGCCAGCAACCTGGTCATGCTATCTATGATCTGAGGGTCACGGAGGAGCACAGAGATCCTGACAGGGATGTGCCTTGGCACACTGGGAGTCAGAAGGCTCCCAGTCTTTGGGGCAGGGGCAACTTCTGGAAATTCCTCCCCTAGAAGATGGTCCCATGGAAGAGTCTTGAGGACTAGACCAGAAACAAACACTGCAGCCTGTTTAATTATCATGTTCTCTAACAGCTTCTGGGGACAAACTTCCCTGGTGGAGGAAGGGTTGAGAACAGGAAGCCTTTAAAGTTATGGAAGGACTTTGAACTTCCTAAGGGACACAGAAAGTCAGGGAGAGCTTTTGAGCAGAGGAGTGACAGGACTCAGAGTCTGTCTGGCTTTGTGTTTCTCCTTTTTATCAAAGTAACTTCTCAGGACATAACTACCATAGTTGTAAATGCTTTTCATGGAACCATCAGCAGCCTTAGTCTGACTGAGGAAGTATACATGTGTGGGTACAAATACACTAGACTGGAGTTCATAGGATGGGATAGTAAAGACAAGGGGAGACATTGTGAAGTAGATCAAAATTCAGATTAAAATAAAAAAATTATGTATATGACTATTTTGCATGCATGTATGTAAGTGTACCCATGCCATGCAATGCCTATAGAGGTCAGAAGAAGCCATCAGATTCCCTGGAACTGAAACTATGGATGATTGTTAGCTGCCATGTGGGTGCTGGGAATTGAACCTATGTCCTCTGGAAGAGCAGTCTGTGCTCTGAACCACTGAGCCATCTCACCAACCCCAAAATTCATTTTTTAAGTGTGTGTGCTAGGGACTGACCAGGGCCTCTTGCTTGTTGAGCATGTGCTCTATTGCTGAGGCAGCCCCTCCCCTCCAACACAGGCCTCAAAATCCAGATGTTTTAAGGAATTGTAATGATTGCAATGATTCTTAAAAGGGAGATGGTTATCCTTACTTTGAAAGCCTCTGGCAGCTCTTTGCCCTTCCTTTGTGGCTTGGGTGAGTACTCTAGGGGCTGTGTTGTGACAACAGCCTGGTTTAGATACTCTGTCCCCACCTACACTGCTGTGTTCTGGCAAGTCCCCTAGGGGTAAAAATGAGCTTTGCCTTGATTCTTCTGTCTTTCTCCCCTTCCCCTGCTGGGAAAGGAGGGAGGAACTCCTGCACTTTGGGTAGGGGCTCAGAGGCTCAGTGTCTACAGAGAGTGGACCTTTTGGATTCTGTTCTGCCTTGTGCAGAAGCAAAGGCCAGGCAGCAGAGAGGAGGGGACTGAGCTTCAGGCTGAGGCCTCTAGGTGCTAAAATCTGTTCTAAGATAGACCTTTCTGTACCCTAAGACTTTCCCCCTGTAGGGATCTCCCTTTGGAGGTTACTACCCCCCAGTCCAGGGTAGACATCTGTGGAGGATGGAATGTAATTTTGGCACTTGAAGGGTCTGAATTCAAGTCCAGAGGTGTCATTCATAAAGTATGTGTGTCATTCATTCACCAAACATGCCCTGTTTCAGGTCCTGCCTAGTCCTGGTATGGGTGAAACCTCTGAGAAGGACAAAGAGACAGGCATGGTCAGTGTGAGCTCATGAAAGACTGTGCTGTAATGGGTACACATGACTAGAGAAGTCAGAGAAGCCCTCTTAGGGGGAGTAGATCCTTTGGAGAACTTGAAGAATGAGCAGGATGAGCTTGTGCAAAGGTCCTGAGGTAGAAAGCAGTTTGGTGACATCAGAAAAACACTGTACTCCTCCTGCAGTGGCTGATGCTTTATGGGACATGAGCTCACTTCAGCCTGGTCTAGGTTAAAGTCTCTGGCAGGAACAGAAGGAGGCTACCCCACTAGGATTCTGCCATCCTTTGGGGTGGCCCAGTCAGGGAGGCCCAGATAGGCCCTGCCTCAGAGTTCCTCTGGGGCCTTCCTGATCGTCTGCTGTTGGTGCCACTGTTGGATTTTTCTAGGCAGTGTCTCTGTCCAGAACTGTAGCCGGGCCTCCTTCAGTTTCATCCCGATCCGTGGTACCAGGTCAATCTCCAAGTATTGCTCCAGCTGGGCTAATTGGGGCCAATGAGGCAGCCCCTTGCTGTTGGGGTCCCTGGGTAAGAAGAATGAATGAGAATCAAGGCCTTGATTCTATGCCCTGGCAGGGGCAGATCTGAGGCCCAAAGCCAGGCATATGTAACCACTCACTTACCCTGTGTGGGCAAACTGGCTCCATTGGGCCATCATGGTCAGGCTCAGCTGCTTCTCCTCTTCTGTGGCCTCTGGGAAGGCTGGTAAGAAGAAAAGATATGGATCAATTTAGGTGGGGCCTGGAGAATATCCAAGGGTTCCTGGTGCTGTCTGGAGACCTCTGTTCCTGAAAGACCACCCTGGCTCCTTGGAGCATGGTGGCTTAAGGATTACATGTCCTTCTGTCCTTACCCAGGAGAGAGCTCTCATCTGTGAGGAAAGGACCCCCCAAAACAAAGGCACTCTCGGACCCATGGTCGGCCTTCACCCAGGCTGGCTTGAACTTCGAAAAAGAACTGGGTGGATGTTGGAACTCATACAAAAAGACGGGGCATCCAGCATCTGCAGAGAGAGGTAAGATCTGAGTTAGGTACCACAGCTTAATCAGGTCCTCTGGCCACACAAACTTGCAGTGACATCAATCCTAATCATAATGGTGAAGACACAAGGATGAGCAGCAAGCACTCCTCAGCTCTTGATGGGACTGAGTACCTTTTTCTTGTTGATTTTGTTTGTATGTCTGTTTTGTTTATTAGATAGTTTCCATCTAGTCAGATTGGCCTCAGACTCACTATGTAGCTGAAGATGACCCTGAACCCCTGATCCTATTGTCTCTACCTACTGAGTGCTGGGATTACAAGTGCAAGTCATCACACCTGGCCCAATTGGGCGCTGTTCTGTGTGCTGCATCATGCTCAGCATGACCTTTGTATTAGCTTCCACTATGCTCCCATTTTACAAATGAGGAAAGTGAGGCCCAGAGAGAGGCTCTGTATCTTGCCCAAGGTCACAAAATTAAGAATTTGGGACTATTTGGGACTGGAGAGATGGCTCAGTGGTTAAGAGCACTGACTGCTCTGGTAGAGCACCTGGGTTCGATTCCCAGCACCCACATGGCAGCTGTGAACCATCCTTAACTCCAGTTCCAAGGGAATCCGAAGCCCTCTTCTGACCTCTGTGGCATTGCATGACACGGGTACGCTCACTTACATGCAGGCAATATACTCATACATACAAAATAAAAATAATAAATAAAATATTAAAAAAAAGAACTTGGGACTATTGTAAAACTGTGCCAGGCTTGGAGGAAGCAAGATTTCTTCCAAAAGAAGCACTGAAAGAGGACCAAATTGCTCATCAATTGAATGAATCCCCAGTTGAATGAATCCTTGAGAAAGACTTGGTGATGGGACCTGCTGGGGACATTTGATACATCACTGTATCTCCCTGAGCCTCTGTTTCCTCTGTGAGGGACTCTGCTAGAGACACCACCCACTGCTGTGATTCTACACCCAAAGATAGAGGGGCTTGGAGGTGGAAGCAGGGCATGGGTTGCAAGGCAGACTCAGGGGACTCTGTACCTATTAGCAGCCACATCACCTTTGATGATAAAATAACTGTTTGAGGTTCAGGGACAGACTTACCTCGGATGTTTCTTGAGAAGATCAAGGTGGGAATGACGAACATGACATCACCCAGCAACTCTTGCAGGGCATACCTTGTGGCTTGTGCATCTGTGTCATTGTCTAGGTATTCATCTATGACAATGGACATCATCTCAGGGGGCACGTCCTGGGACAAGAGGTCAAGCTCAGGCATGCTCAGATTCCACAGCTGTGTCAGACCCTCCTATGGAGTCTCATACCCTCCAATAGAGCTTCTTTCACATCCCAGAGGACATCCACCCACCTCCTTGCCTCCTTGAGTATTCCTATCAATAGATAGTAGTTAGGTAGGAATAAGCTCAAGTCTAGAGTTAAATGTTAGCACTGTGGCCACTGCTGGGCTGTGTGGCCTCAAGCAAGTGTCTGAAGCATTCTGATAGTCAATGTCTGCCTGGCAATGTTGTTTGGAAGCTGTGCTGATTAGTTTTTGTCAACTTGACACAAACCTAGACATACCTGGGAAGAGGGAATCTCAAATGAGAAATTACTACGTCAGACTGGCCTGTGGGCATTGTCTGTGGGGCATTTTCTTGATTGCTAATTGATGCAGAAGGGCCCAGCTCACAAGGGGTGCTGCCATCCCCTGGCAGTTAGGCCTGGATTGTATAAGAAAGGCATATGAGGGACTGTAGAGATGGCTCAGCAGTTAAGAGCGCTGGCTGTTCTTGCAGAAGACCTGGGTTTGAATCTTATCACCCACATGGTACCTAACAACCATCCTTAACTCCAGTTCCAGGTGATCTGACTCCCTGTTCTGGCCTCTGCACGCATTGCACTATACGAGTACACTTGCATACATGTAGGCATAACATTCATACACATAAAATTTAAAAAAAATTTAAAAATAAAGTTATTTGAGCAAGTCAGTAAGCAGCAATCCTCCATGGTCTCTACTTCAATCCCTGCCTCCAGGTTCCTAAGCCTTGAGCTCCTGCCCTAGATTCTCTTGATGATGGATTGTAACCTGTAAGATGAAGTAAACCCTCCCCCAAATTGCTTTTTGTCAGTGTTTTATCACATCAACAGAAAATCAAACTAGGACAGAAATTTATGTGAAGTCTGTAACACAGAGTATGATCTTTAAGCGGGTGCTCAGTTGAAGATAACTGGAAAATAAATAGAATAAATGAGGGGGTGCTCCACAATTCCAGAGACAAGTGATGAGGTGGTGTGAATGGGAAGAGCCCTGAGGCTTCCAAAGAAGGCAAAAGGACACAGGTGGAGCACTGCCTGGGTACCTGCTCCCTGGTCAGCTCTTCACAGACTGTGTCCAGTCTCCTTAGAAGAACTCAGGTGGGTGGGAAGCATCATCATAGTGAAGACATAGGCTCAGAGGTGCCAGGAGAACTAGGCAAGTGATCAGGGCTGAGATCTGATCTTAGGTCCATCTGACTCTATACCCGACACTGAGATCTTAACATTTGCACTCTGGGGTCAGACCGAGCAGGCTCAAGATCTGTTTCAGTTTCCTTGTCTGTTAAACAGGGATAATGACAGTCCCTACTTCACAGAGTTGCAGTGAGGACCAAGGAGGATAAATGCCTATCTGCAGGCTAATCGTGGCACAGTCCTGGGTATCTAGGATGTGCTCATGAAGAGGTGGTCTCCATGGTGACAGGGATGATATTGATAATTTTCCTTTGAGAACCACATCATCTCACGTCAAGAGGTGATTCCTGGAACTAATCTCCTAATTATTTTTGTTTTGTTTTGCTTTTATAGATAGGATCTTACTATGTAGCCCTAGTTGGCTTGAAATTCAGTGATCTGCCTTTGCCCCCCGAATGCTAGGATTAAAGATATGCACTACCATGCCTGGCTTGCTCTTTTTTTTTTTTTTAAATAAATCTTTAGACATTTTTTATTTATTATTATTTTTATATTTCATTTATTTTTATTATTTTTATGTGTATGCTTGTATTGCCTGCATGCATGTAAGTGCACCAGTATTTTGCAATGCCCTTGGAGGATAGAAGAGACCATTGGATCCCCTGGAACTGGAGTTTCGGACAGTTGTTAGCTGCCATGTGGGTACTGGGATTCGAACCCCAGTCTTCTGCAAGAACAGTCGGTGTTCTTAACCTCTGAGCCATCTCTCCAGATCCTTATTTATTATTTTTATGTGTATGAGTGTATGTGTATTGCCTGCATGTATGTAAGTGTATCTGTATTGTACAAAGCCTGCAGAGGTCAGAAGAGGGTGTCAGATTCCTCTGGAACTGGAGTTATGGAAGATTGTTAGCCACCATGTGAGTGCTGGGAATTGAACCCAAGTCTTCTGCAAGAACAGCCAGTGTTCTTAACCTCTGGGCCATCTCTCCTGCCCATCCTTTTTTTTTTTTTTTTTTTTTTTTTTTTTTGAGACAAGGTCTCACTTTGTGGTCCAGGTTAGCCTGGCACTCATTATATAGGCTGAAGGGTGGCCTTGAACTTGCAGCAATTTTCCTGCCTCAACTTCTCAAATGTTGGGATGACAGGCCTAAGCCACCACTCCTGGTCTTTCTAATTTAACAGAACTAAAATTCATCAGTTGGGCCAGGGGCCTTGATGGTTGGTGAGCAGCTGTGGGATTGGGATGGAGACTGCTGCACTGGGTGCCCAGCAGCCTTCTCCTCACCATAGCAGTCAAGTAGGGCCTCGACATCTCTAGCACGTCCTCCCGGCTCAAGTGTTCCACCTTATCCAAAATATTCCAGACCTGTGGGTACAGATATCAAGGCTCTCTCAGTACAGCCCAATCACTGTCCTCCATCCAAGAACATTGCCAAACCAGTGTCCACAAACTCATGATAGAACCATGTATGGTCAAACTCACAAATCTATGCACTCCAACTGAGAAATCCCTGATTGCCAATGAATGGAGGTGCCTAGGAGAATAGAATCATATGCAGCAGACAGAGGCCAACAGCAGCACCACAGAGATTTGTTCAACATTTTCTTTCTTCTTTTTTGGTGTGTTTGTGTGTGTGTATGTATGTATGTATGTGCTTCTGTGCACATGGATGTGTGTATGTGTGTGTGTGTGTGTGTGTGTGTGTGTGTGTGTGCATGTTGTGGCAGGTGTCTTCCTCAATTTCTTTCTACTTTAGTCTGTGAGTCAGGGTCTCTCACTGAACCTGGAACTGGCCAATTTGGCTAGACTGTGACTTCCAGGGATCTTTCTGTCTTCACTTCCCCAGCACTGGGATTTCAAGGAATCAATGCCATGCCTGAGTTCTTTTCTTTTCTTTTCTTTTCTTTTCTTTTCTTTTCTTTTCTTTCTTTTCTTTCTTTCTTTCTTTCTTTCTTTCTTTCTCTCTCTTTTAAAAATATTTTATTATTTTTATTTTATGTATTCAGTATATTGCCTGCATATATGAAAGTGCACTTGTGTCATGCAATCCCCGTGGATAGCTGCCATGTGGGTTCTGGGAATCGAACCCAGGTCTTCTGCAAGAACAACCAGTGTTCTTAACTGCTGAGCCATTTCTCCAGCCCCACAATCCTTTTTTTTTTTTAAGCTCAATGACAATTTGATCAGAGTTTAAAGAAAACTCCCCAGGCCAGGCAGGCTGTAAATCTCAGCAGCTACCTGGAGGAGGAGAATGGAGGAGAGAAGGAAAATAAGCCATACTGTGTGAGCCAGCATGGAGGTCAGATATATGGTGGGCAAGCAGCTGCATGGCAGACAAGCAGCCATATGGTGGGAAGGGGAACTTTAGAGAAAGAACAAGGAAGTCCAAAGTATTGGGGAGGCCCAAAGCATTAGGGAAAACATGCTTAGAAAATAGAGAGAAGAAAAGGAGAAGTTATGCTTTTCTGAATAATTTAGAAAAGTGGGCAAACTTACAAAGCTGTAATAAGCTACTGTGCTAGGGTGGGGGTTCTGGGAAGGAAAAAGTATATTATCTTATTAAAGGACTAATTATTCCACTTCTCTCTTTAGCATGGCTTAAGGTGAGCCTGCCTTCCTAGGGATGGTCTTATGGCCAGGTGATTGACCCTGCCCAGTTGGAATGTTAGTGTTGTGAGGTGCTTCACCAGAGAAGACCACTCAGACAGTTTTCCCAAATGAAAGTCTTTCCTGGTCCATGACTACAGAAGGGTGTCTAAACCCAAGTGCAGCCCCGAGCCATTTCTAGGGTAAGTTTTTATACAGAGAAACCATACCCAGGGGTGAAAAGTTTAAGCTCCCAAGTTTATATGTACAAATGTTCCCTTAACAATTTCTATTCTATTAAGCAACAATTATTATTTTGCGGAAGCAAGCCAAGCATAACCTACAGAAGCCATAAATCTGCAGTTATCAGGTGCACTCCAGAACGTGCTGACCTGTTCCTGAGACAACTGAGGTCCTGCTTATGTGTATTCCTATACCCTGGGCCAACTGCCTGATAATTTCAGAGACTAGAGTCAGTCTAAGCTTTAACATGGCATAGCTATGGTCAAGAAGGTGCCATATCACATTAGGTCTCCACCCAGGCCAGAGATTCAATTTCCTTGACAAGAAGAAGTCTTTCTTTAATGGGTCTTCATAACCACTCTAACATTCTTCCACCCTGCCCCCCCCCTAAAATCTAAGAATTAGATCAAAGATCAGAGCCCCTAAACACTTCTGGCATCTCTGAGCTCTGGCAACATCCAGGCTGCCAAGAGGTCCAAGGACCTTTTTGATTTTTTTTTTTGGGTATTTTTAAGACAGGGTCTCCCTGTAGCCCCAGCTGTCCTGGAATTCACTTTGTAGACCAGGCTGGCCTTGAACTCATAGAGATCTGCTTGCCTCTGCCTCCCGAGTGCTGGGATTAAAGGCGTGCACCACCATGCCTGGCTGACCTTTTTGATTTTTAAACCAAGAAAGAAACTGGTTACTTTTCTTTGGGATCTTTTTATCCTAAACTGCTAGCTAATTTCTATTCCTTCCTCTGAAGAGGTTATCCTTGAAGGAAAATCAACCTGACAAGTGATTGAATGAACAGACAATCCCCCCACCCTGCCTCCCTACCCCAGGAGGGAAATATACCTATCTTAGAACATAGGGCCCCTAGTAAAAGACATCTGGTTTCTTATCAGCCTCTCTGTAGATCTGGTTCCTTTATCAGCCTCTCTGTAGATCTGGTTCTTTATCAACCCCCTTGTCAGAACTCCCCTTGTCTCCTTCTCAGATCCCAGAGCACGGTACCACCCAAGAAGGCACAATTCACCTTCTGGGATTCTGGGAAGGAATCCCTTTCTGGGATTTTATGGGTTCACCTATAAATCCCAGACCTCCATTCCCAAGGGAATAAAGCTATTTGCATCTGTTGAGGTCAGATTCAATTGCTACTTCCTTTATTCTCATGTTACCTTCTCATCCCAAATTCTAACAACCCTAAATGACATTTTGGAATGTGGTGTGATGATTCAGTTTGAAGAATACTAGAATCTGACTCCTTGAGTTCAAATACCAGATCTGCCACTTAGTACGTTTATGAGTTACTTAAACATCCTGTGCCCCAGCTTTCTAGTCTGTGAAAAAGAAATAGCAAGGACCTGCTTCCATAGGATTGTTGTGAGGACTGAATTAATGTGTATTTAAGCCCTAAACATCAAGGAGGTGCTAGTTATTAAACCTCATTGCTTTGCTGCCAGGCTCTGTGTTAATCTATAGAAATTTCACAGATGAGCAAACAGGGCGTGCTAGTCTATCTCAGAAGGTGACTTTGTTTGGAGAAAGGATTTGTAAAGGTAACCAAGTTGAGTCAAGAGGATCACAGAAGCAATTGTTAGAATGGAACCTTATCCAATATGATTGGGGTCCCTGTAAAGGTAAAATTTGGACACAGAGACAAACTCACACAGAGGCAAGACAATGTAAAAACAAAGGGTGACTTTCTTCAAGTTGAGGCTAACAGAAACCAGCCTGGAATTTGATATGTAGACCAGGCCGGCTTTGAACTCACAGAGACCCACCTGCCTCTGCCTTCTGTATGCTGGGATTAAAGCTATGGTTTCTGACATTTTGATTGGTTTCCATTACTGTGAGATGACACCTTTCTGTTATTTAAGTGAGACAGTGTGGCAGTGACATGAAGATAAACAAACTAGTGAGAGAGAATTGGGAGTTCAGAAATAAACCCTTAAATTTTCAATTGATCAGTTCTCAACAGGGTGTTGAGAAAACTCAGTAGGAAAAGTTTTTTTTCCCAATAATGTGGCATTGCTTAGCGGTGCACTGAATTGTTAGTTATAGTGGTCCAAACCACAGTGGCTCACATGACAGAGTGAAGAAATATGACGGGACTCTTCCTTTGTGGGAAGGTTGTGCTCGTTAAAACAGTTGATGGGCTGGGGGTGGGCTCAGCATGCTTGGGCGGCATGCTGGAGGTCCTCAGCATCATAGGAGAAAAAGAAAGCAATTTCTGTAAAGATAAGTAGACAAATGAAAATTTTAGGATTAAACAAGATGCTCAGGGTTATAGCATGGTGTGGACACTCTTGTGGGGCGTTTTGTGCATCCAGAATGGATTAGAAGGCTCTTGGCCCTTGATGTCCCCAGTGTAAGTGCTTAAAGCTGCCTGAAACCTGGGAGTCTTAGGCAGTCAGTCTTGCAGGCACAGAGTCACTCTCCAGTCTCACAGAGCATGGTGTATAAACCAGTCATCAGCAAGAATATGCTGTGGATTAGTACAGCCCAGAAGACCACTTTGCAAAAGCTGCATCCTCAATACAGAAATGTGCTTTGTGAAAACAAAGTTGAATAAGGGACTTTGAGTAAGGGACTTCAGAGTTTTGACTTGAATAAGGGACTTCAGAGTTTTGAAGTCTCACTTTTCTCATCTACCAAATGGGAATGACAGGACATGGCATTACTGCCATGACGTGCTGCAGAGAACAGCCTGGGCAGGGCCTTGAAGGGGAACAGGTGCCAGAGGACACTCACCTTGAGGAGGAGCCAGCCACATTCATGATTGTTGACCCCTATAAGGTAGGGCACAGTGGGGAATTGCCTCTCACTGAGGAGCTGCTCAGGGTTTTTGGGGAAGAAAGAGCCATCAACTGTATAGGTAATCTTCACACGTTCCTGTAGGAAGGAAGCAAGATAAGACACTGTCCAGGATCAAACTTCAAATGATAAGACCTCAGGGGTCATTCAGCGGTGTGCCTGAGGGAAAATGAGGAAATGGAAATCCCCAGAGTTGGGAATCCTGGGAGGAGTCAGGGGACCTGCTGCTCCCCAGCAGATCTCTTCCCTTTTCCCACTATAGGTGAGACCCAAGTTTCATCCCAGACTGGTGACTGCCCCTCTGATGGCAGGAGCTGGAAAGGACTCCTCTGGGCCATGGCCTGTTACCAAAGTAGTGTCATACCTTGTTAAGGAGCAACTCTTCTCCTTCCTTCTGCAGTAGGCACTGCACCAGCTCAGCAGAGGAGTCAGAGCTGCAGCCCAAGGATTCTGCAAAGTTCTGGCGACAGACAGAAGAGTGTTGTCTCCCTCTCAGCTATGCACCTTGATTTCTGGCTCACTGCTTCTTATATTGGGCTATGATGTCACTGATTGGGCCTAAGCCTGATCAGAGAGATATCCACCCACCAGAGAAACCAATCCCTGTGTTTCTGTCCTCTTCGCCTCTCTGAGAACTGTGTCCTTTTCTAAATCAGTACTGCTTGCATCATAAGCAAGAACATAACATTGGGGGTAGGGGATGTTCAGGGTGGGAATATCTGGTAGAGAGTGGAGGGATTACTACGGGTGGAGCAGGGCCAAAGGGGCTGGTGGGAGCTGCGGCTGGAGGGACAATTTCTAGAGACAGAGGAGGATTGAATTTTGTGTTTTGAAAATCTCTCCCTCCATGGTGAGATTATGGGGAGGGAAGCCATTGCTCCTGTTCAGGTTAAGAGAGGCAATGTGCACTGCTGAATCATCTTGCACCCAGGGCCCACTCCTTCACCACAGCTGGGATCTGGGGCCAGGTGAAGTAACAGTCCTAGCCTCTGATCACTCCCTCCACAAAGAGCTGACTCAGCACAGTCCGTTTCCCCTTTGATAATGTTAGAAGATAAATAGACCCCTGCACCCCAGACCCACTGATATAGGAACTGTCTCAGTACGAGCTGTTTCCCTCAGATAAGTTTCATAATGTATAGACCCCTTATCCCATGACCCAGATCCTGGCTGATGGAAGGGAATGGAAGGGTGCAGTTTGACAGAGGCTGTTCTTTCCTGATAAGCGCCCCCCGCCCCCCACCTAACTTGTTTTAAAATATCTTCCTGCCTTCCACATCCCCCCCAACCCTTTATAAAAGCCCCAGTCAACAGCCTGTAAACTGTCAGCTCCTCTATCCTGAACTGGGGACTTTCCTGTGCGTTTCCCCTGCCAATAAATCCTATCTCACTGGAGTTCTTATCTGTGTCCTGGTGGTTTCTCCAAATCTTTGCCTTGATTTACCTATCACCTAAGAATGCCTCTGGGGAAGGGGCTAGAGATGGTCTGCTCAGAGGTGGCCTCCTCCAGGAGCAATGCCTAACTGTTTACTTCTACTACTAGTTATTTCCTCTGAGCCTATAGGGACTCCTTTGTAGTGACTCCTCCCTCCCCCGACCCAACCCAAAGGTAGTACAGGGTGTGGTGTGGTGTGGAGGTAAATGTGGTACAAGAGAGTGAAGGAAAGGCAGACCTGAATTTCTGGCCAGGGGTTAGTTTCCCTCATTTGCTTCATGGTGACAACCCCACTCTGGGATATGGCTTTGTGGAAGAGTCCTGAGGACATTGGAGACAGGACCTGGGATAATGAAGAAGGCAGATGACCGTTAGAAGAAGCAGAAGGTCTAGGAGGTCTGGGGCAACAGGAGTCCTCTCAGACCTGGCCACAATTGTTAGTTCCCTGTGGTGACTCACCAGGGCAGAGACAATGAAGGAGCCAGCAGAGTTACCAAAGATGGTGACAGAGTTGGGATCACCCCCAAAGGGGGATATATTTCCTTGCACCCATCGTAGAGCAGCCACCACATCTAGCAAGCCCTGGTTGCCAGGCATGTGTTTGTCTCCAGTGCTAGGGGTAGGGTGGGTTAGTGGTTAGTTCAAGTTATCTCCCAAGACAGATTTTCTTTGCTTACTGCAAATTTGCTTTGACTCAGATACCAGTGCGCTAGGGACTCCTCTGCCCCCCAAACCTGGCTTGGCTATGAATAATGCTTGGTACCTGTTCACTCAGTAGGTGCTGTGGGCAGATGTAGCAGGACAGCCAGCCAGGGCTTGGCTGTCAGTTAGCTATTAGATTATGTTACTCTTTGTCCCTGTTCTCTGCTTGGACTCTAGCTTCAGCTTAGAAACTAACACCCTTTGCCCAAGTTCAATGTTCAGTTCTGGCTTTTTTTTTTTTTCCGAGGTAGACTGTCACTATATAGCCCTGGCTTGCCTGAAACTTGTTATGTAAATTAGGTTGGCCTCAGACTCACAGAGTTCCCCTGCCTCAGCCTCCCAGCTGCAGGGATTAAAGGTATGTACCACTACACCCAACTAGTTCTGGCTTTGACTGAACCCCTTCCCATAGTGGAGACTTGGGAAATACCAACTGTGCCTCAGAGAGCAGGGATGCAGGTGCAGGGCCCACTACCCTCAGATTCTCTCTCTCTCTCTCTCTCTCTCTCTCTCTCTCTCTCTCTGTGGGTACATGCACATGTGCATATGGGTATCTGTGGTGTGTGTGCATGTGGAAGACAGTGATTGACATCATACATCTTCCTCAGTTGTGACCTTTATTTTTTGAAACAGGGTTTTTTTGTTTTATTTTTAGGGCTCTTTTTAAAAATTTTAATTTTTTTTTTTTTGGTCTTTTTGAGACAGAGTCTCCCTGTAGCACCAGCAGGCCTGGAACTCACTATGTAGACCAGGCTGACCTTGAACTCACAGAGATCTGCCTTCCTCTGCCTCCTGGGTGCTGGTATTAAAGGCATGGGCCACCATGCCCTGCTGAAACAGGGATCTCTTACTGAACCTAGACCTCATCAATTTGGCTAGCCAGTGCTGGGATTAAAGACAAGTGTAGCCACACCCAGCTTTTATATGGGTGTTGGGGTGCGAATTTAGGTCCTCACACTTGCATGTCAAGCACCAACTGAACCATCTTCCCAGCCCCTCCACCTTTAGAAGCCCTGTCCACAGGGCTGCAATGCCCTCTTCTAGAGTGGCTATCTTACCTGAGGAAGCCAAAGATTCCAAGACGGTACTGGACTGTGACCACCACCACATCCCCATAGGCAGCCAGGGCTGATCCATCCTGAGAGGTGGCAGAGCCAACTACTAGAGAGCCTCCATGGATCCATACCATGACCTATAGAGATGACCATGAGGCAGTGCTCCCCCTCCCCCAGCTTCTGGGATTCCAACCACCCACCTAGCAGCCCAGGAAATTCTTAAGACCTCTGAGATGGTTAGTTAACAGGGCTGCAGAGGGGCAGATGGGCATGGTGGAGCTGGAGGGGTGCATGGGGGTCCTTTGGGCTGCACACCGGCCTCCTGGCCCCTGCAGTGGCCTCAGCAGGGCTGTAGATGTTGAGGATCAGGCAGTCTTCGGAGATAGAGAAGATACGATGCTTTCCATTTAGGGTGAATCTGCTGTTGTTCATTCTCTTTGTATCCTGCAGGCACCTGCAGTCAAAGGGCATCCCAGGATGAGCTATTAGCCCCACACACTCTGGCAGCCAGCCCCCACCATCAATTTGCCTGCTTGCCCATTTCTGCCAGGGTACTCACATTGGAGGATTGGTGCTGGCATCTCGCACACCTTCCCAGGGCTGTGCTGGGCGTGGGGCTGAGAACCGGAGAGGCCCCAGTGGTGCCTGAGCAAAGGGGATGCCCAGGAAGACATTCACTAGGCGCTCTGTGCCCTTCACATTCACCTGGTGTCCTCGCACACGACCCAAGTGGGTGTCCACTTCAGGCTGAGTGACTTTGGGTCCTGAGGTCAGGGAAGAGGGATCATAGGGTGAGCCTGCAGCTTCCATGAGGGAATGGGTGAAAGACTTTCAGAATGAAGGAATATTTGCTTTCCCAGCATCTATTTTTAAATTAAAAAAAAATTTTTATTTTATGTGTATGCATGTATTGCCTGCATGTAGGTAAGTGCATCTATGTTGTGCAATGCCCTCAGAGGACAGAAGAGGCTATTGGATCCCCTAAAACTGGAGTTATGGGCAGTTGTTAGCTGCCATGTGGGTACTGGGATTCGAACTCAGATCTTCTTCAAGAACAGCTAGTTTTCTTAACCCCAGCGCCTATTTTGTTAGGCTCTGTTCTGTGCCTTCTCCACACAGCATGCTGGCTAACCAGGCCTTATGGCCACCTCCATGATTTTTTTGTTTTGTTTTTGAGACAGAGTCCAGGGCGCTCTTGAACTTGCTATGTAATGGAGGCTGACCTTTAACCCCAATCCTCCTGTTTCTACCTTCTAATTGCTGGGAGCACAAGTGTGTGCTACCAAACTTGGCTCTCATTCCTGTGATCACCCACACTTCCTCTTTCCTGCCTGGGCATCAAAACAACTCTCCTCCAGGCTGAATCAGACCTCCTGCTGACTTGAACCTCAGATTACTAAGGTGCTAAAAGGTAGTGATAGTCACATTTGTATTTTCTGTATTTTGATGCTTTGCATCTGGAGCCTGGTTGACATTGGGGGTCTGCTTAGCGTGCCTCACCTATTCTTGCTCACTTGTGGAAGCAAGAAGAAAGACTCTTGCCCAGTTTCCCCTTCCTCCTTTCATTGCCTGGTGGCTTTTCTGTGTGGCATTATGAGGTGGGTTGCACCTCAAGTTTCCAGGGAGCTGTGAGTAAGCTCCCTTCATGGCAATCTTGTTTGTTTTACCATGACTGATTAAAATAAATCTTGGGTCCCCTTCAAACATAAGGACAAGACTGGGGTAGAGCTCAGTGGTAGAGCACTTGCTTAGTGCCCTGGATTCGATTCTTAGCAGTATAAGAAAATGAAGAAACAACAGTAATGATGACAAGACACACACACACACACACACACACACACACACACACAGAGTCATGACCCTGTTCTGGTGATCAGGTGATTCAGACAAGGGCAGAACCCCTGCTCAGACAGGATGCACAGCTCCTGCGTTTCTCTACGCTGGACCCCTTCCCTAGAAGACGGCTCACTGTCTCTCTGCCTCATTAAAAAAAAAAAAATTAATTAAAAAAATTTATATGTGGCCAGGCGTGGTGGCGCATGCCTTTAATCCCAGCACTGGGGAGGCAGAGGCAGGTGGATCTCTGTGAGTTTGAGGCCAGCCTGGTCTCCATAGTGAATCCAGGGCAGCTGGGGCTACAGGGAGACCCTGTCTCAAAAAGACCAAAAAAAAAAAAAAAAAATTTATATGTATGCATGTTTTGCCTGCATGTATGTAAGGGCACCCATGTTGTGTATTGCCCATGGAGTCCAGAAAGCCTCAGCTCCCCTGGAACTGGAGTAAGAGATGATTGTTAGCTATCATGTGGGTGCTGGTAATTGAGCCAAGGTCCTTTGGAAAAATAGCCAGTGCTCTTAACTGCTGAGCCATTGTCCTAACCCTCTTGCCCGACTCTTGTCCCCTCCTTCCTCAGTCCTCCCACTGAGCCAGAAGCCCCCACCCCATAGTCTCAGTGAGTTTGTCTTACCAGTGACTGTGGCAGGAAATGCCAGGAATAGACAGGCCACCCAGACTAGGACACTGGACTCAGCTTGTACCACTATTCCCATGTTCCTGGTTCCTCACAACTGTGGATAGAAGTTGCACTAGGCTAGAGAAGATCTTCCCTTTATAGTTCCTCTAATCTTGTGAAAACCAATATGGTCCACCCCATTTGGTTGGTGGCCAGCCCTGGAATTCAGTGTCCTGTGCTCTGACTGAGCAGGGATCAGAGTAGGAGACTCTCCGGGAGAAGCCTTGGTGATATAGCTCCCTCTGGTGTTCAAATTCCAGCTCTTGATTGACAAGGTGATGAATGCCTATACTTGCAGTCCCCACCTTCAGCTGAATTCCAGGTTAGCTGTCTTAAAAAAGAAAAAAAAGTACATACTTCCAAGATACATGGCAAGATAAGATAGGCTAAATATTTCTATTCCGAAAGGAATAGGCAAAGTGGAAAGGAATAATCAGTCCAAAGCAAGACTGAAACCCAGTAGTGCAGAGATTCCGTCCCAAACCTCCAAGCCCAGAATCTTATGCACATTGCAATGAGGGATGTGTCCTAAGGCCCACTGCTTTACTGGTACATGTTGGTACTTTTCATAGGCTATACACTGGGGTTTGTGACTTTCAAAGCCTAGGGTGGCAAATTGCTGTTTTCTCTACCTTTCTAGGGTCCCCAGATCCTCACTTTGGCTCTACTGGGCATTACTCCATTGGGAGAGCCTTGAAGGAACTTTGAACCTGCAGAAAAATTCTGCCTCATTTCATTTTTCTTTAAAAATCTCAAAGGGAGCCACCATGATCCCATGTTTGCATTCTGAAAGCAAAAAGATCTGATACCACATGCTCACCATGAAGGTCTTTGGAAGATGTTAAGTGTGGCCTGGATCTGCTTGAATCACAGCTACAGTATCTGCAGAGCATGTCACTAGGATGTTGGAATTCCAAGGTGATTGATTAGAAGAGCCTGTAGACAGAGAACTTCTAGTCTCTTAGCCAATGGTAGGAAGTGTGTCCTTCAGGATTTCTGACATGTCCACAAGGCATGCTTTCTATTGTCCTAGACAGAAAATCGATTTATATATTTACCTATTAATTTTTGAGACAAGGTGTTGCAGTGTAACCTGAGCTGGTCTCAAACTCATGATCTTCTTCCTTCTTTAATGCAGGGATTATAGGCTTGCTTCTCCACATTTGTCCAAACAGGAAATTCAAAGGCACTCATCCTGAAGGTCAGGTAAGTAGAGTTGGCATCAGAAAATGAGTGGCTACAAAATTTCTTACACTATCATTTCTTGTTTGCCTCATTCTAGTCCTATATTTGAGATCCACCCATGGATACCAGGCCCCAATCCTTGCTTATCTCCTTGGGACAGCCTCTTCTTCAACTCCAGTTTTTCCTGTATCTCTCTCAATAGCTGCAAGCTCACCTCCATCAAAGAACGACACTGTTCAGACCTAGGGATTTAGCTCAGTGGTTTGAGTGTCTGGTTAGTATGCGTAAGGCCTTAGGTTTAATCTCCAGCACCAGTAAAACTATATTTTACTATCCAAATGATTCTTTGTCTGCTGGCTTTTAACCATTCTCTCTCTTGTTTGCAGCAAATCTAGCATCGTCTGCTATTTATGTCTACTTTCTTCCTGTCTCCCAAGAAAGCATTACTACGGTGATAATGCTATCTTGCTCATGTTTTACTGAACTACTAGCATATTCTGGCCACTTTATTATTAGCCATTGTTCTATAAATATTCTTCTGTAACTCTAAGGGGTGTGCTTTCGGCACTCATGCGTGGGTGAAGAAATAAGAGAAAAGAAATAAAACCACACGAATCCCCTGGTCTTTTTTCAATTCCGTGATAATCCATTCAGGTCCCGTGGCTGCCCCCTGGTAGCCATACTAACCAAAGGCCATTTCCATTTATTGAAATCCTAAGTGTTCACCCCGTGGACTTTCAGCTTCTACCCTCACCTTCTTTTCTGGCTTCTCTGGTCACAGCTTTCTGTTCCTTCGTCTTCACTGTCAACACCCTTATTGGACTTGTGAGCACAAGGACAGTAAATGGAGTGACTCTTGCAGAAACATGGAGGGTCCCTGGGGTCTTGGAGGAGCTTCAGGAGCAGGATTGCTCCCCACTCCACAGGATCCACCGGTCCCAGCCCCATCTGATCTTGCTAATTAGGTAAGACGGCTAGGGAAACTTTTACTCTCTGTTTATACAAAAAGAAATGGAAGCATACGCCAATGATAATCACCCCTGAAAATGTTCACAACTGTTTTATTTTTGATATTTACTGATTATTTTTATTTTATGTGTATGAGTGTATTGCCTGCATGTATGTAAGTGTACCCATGTCATGCAATGCCCTTGGCGGTCAGAAGAGAGTGTCGTATGCCCTGGAACTGGAGTTATGGACTATTTTAAGCCGCCATGTGGGTTCTAGGAATTGAACCCAGGTCCTCTGCAAGAGCAGCTAGTGTCCTGAGCTGCCGAGCCATCTCTCCAGCTCCAACAACAGCTTTACTAATAATAGCTCCCCCTCAAAAAAAAATTCATTCAAATGTCCATCGGCTGATGAGTTGATAAAGTGTGGTGTGAACAAACATGGAAAGTTACTCTGTAATAAAAGGAATGAATCACTCCTTAAATCTCAAAGGCATTATGTGAGGTGACAGAGCCAATCTCAAATGAGTCTTTTTATATTGTGCTAGAAAAGACCGACTATAGCAGAGGAAAACAGTTAAGTGGTTGGCTAGGAGCAGAGTTCAGGGAAATGATTAACAGAAAGAGGCATGAGGAAGCTTTTTTTTTTTTTTTTTTTTTTTTTTTTTTTTACTTTTAATTTTAGCTTGACCTACAACTTCACTTATTTATGCAGAATAACAGAAGTTGACACATCTTACATTAGATAATGGGAAAATCAGAATAATGATCATGTTCTCAGAGGACAGCGAGAGATTGTCCCCATGTTTTCTTCTGGTTTTATGCATTCAGGTCTTACATTAGAATCTTGAGTCTATTTTCAGCTAATTTCTAGTATAAGGGTTCTGTTTCATTTTTCTGGCTGAAACTGGATATCCACTGTTCTTATGACCATTTGTTGAAAATACTGTTCTCCATTTTAAAAAATTATTTATTTATTTATTATTTATTTATTTATTTAATGTGAATGAGTGTATTGCTTGCATGTATGTAAGTGCACCTGTCTAGTGTAGTTCCCCCGGAGGTCCAAAGAGGGCATTGGATTCCCTGGAACTGGAGTTCCAGATGGTTGTTAGCTGCCCTGTGGGTACTGGGAATCGAACCCTATCCGTGTCTTGGCATTGGGGTGGAGGCCATTACGTGACAAAAGACTCATGTTGCTCATGAGGCTACCACCCACAAGGGGAGCCTTGAATAGGGATCCTCCTCTGGGAGGTTGAGGAAGGGGCATTCTCTCTCCCATGTTGTGCAAAGTTGGACCAGTACTTCATCATCCTCCTGCTCAGCAGCAACTCCTCCTCAGTGAGGTCAACTGCAGACAGGAGGACACCCCATGCAGCTGCCTACTCACACCAGCCATTGCAGCTGTAGCCTGACCCCGGCCCCAGGCCTGATTCTCTTTCTCTCTATCACCCAGGATCCAGGCCCTGCCCTTGCCCAGGCTGTCTCACCCATCACAATTTCCAATTGGATCTTCCCCAGGCTCATTCCTTGCCCAGTAGCACCTTCTTCCCTCTGACACTAAAATGTCATCTGGGGAGCAATCAGCTTCTGTGGGTGTTTAGGCAAGAAGTCCCCATGCACAACACCAGCTATACTCTTGAAGGCCTGAGGGAATATTCAAGGTCAAGCAGCAATGTCACATTCTAGAAATTTCCTGATATTCTCTGGTTACTTTATACCTATTCCTGGCTTATCCCTAAGTAGTCCCATGTCTGGTTCCATGTGTTCACATCCAGTACTGCCAAACAGCATGGCCTAGAGAGGAGATATCTGTGCTCAAGAAGCTGAAGGTTATGCAAGCCTTCTGCCCCATATAATATGGCCACTCTTCCTCCATATCCATGACCATTGGGTCTCACCTTGCTAATTGCATTTCCTCTTCTCTTTTCTGCTACAGGCAATTCACCAGGGCCTCTGAATCTACCTGCTCACATCCAGACAAACTGGCCACTATCTGTAAAGGGATCAGGCAGGGGCTGGCTCATCTTTCCAGTCAGGGAAATAATGGTTTTACCAACACTCTGGATGAGTGTATGTGTGTATGTGCCTCCCAGAAATCTAATTGTGTGAAGTGTAACAGGTATGAAATTGTTCTCACTTCCCTGATGCTGAGAGGTGACAGCCAAAGGAGCCATCCTACCTACTCACATGGTTCTGAACATGATGGGGTATCCTGAGTGCAGTTTTACTGGTTAGAGATGGACCTTTTGAAAGAGGCAGTTCTGCATGGGACAAAAGAGGGGTGCACCTATCAGCTGTATCCCTTTATGATCTGTTAGTTACAGTTGGTGCTAACATCATTGAGTTCAATGTTCCTATCCTGTGGGACCATGTAGACTTTTTTCTTGATGTCATTCCCTAAATAATACAGCATGGTAATTATTTATATAACATTTATATTGTATTAGATGTTATGTTATCTATGTTCATTAAAATATGCATGCATAGGTTACATGAAAACACTAGCGATTTAATGTAAGGGGTGTGAGAATCTGCGTATATGGGTATGTGATGTGGGGTCCTGGAGCCAATCCTGATGGATACTGGGCACAACTATATTCTTTCTGAAATTTGGTGCAAGACAAAATCTTATTTTATTTATTTTGTGGTACTTGAGACGGTCTCATGTAGCCAGTCATGCTTCAAATTTGCTATATAACAGAAGGTAGCCTTGAAATTCCTAATTCTCTTGCCTCTACCTCTTGACTGGAATTACAGACATATATCACCAGACCTGGTCAAAACCTTCTTTAAAATAGAGTCATAAGGCTCAGGGATATCATCCTGCCTCAAGGTCACAGTCCCTTCTAAGAGTTCAGCAATGGCAATAGCTAGGCAGGGGAGGCCAACAGAGATAAGGTGACTCCATGGCCGCCTCTTGTTGGGCGGGTTAGACTGAAATAAGATAGTGGTAGGCAATCAGATACCTCACTGGGAGCTCTTGAGGTGGGAAAATAAAGCACTAGGGCACACTCAGGCATGGTGCCTGCCTGACCTGAGCTTCTCATATGGACCAAGAGACTTTCTGGCAGACACATAGCACAACACTTTACTCCAATGACCAAGCCATGCCTTTACTCTAGGTAAGGTGAATGGGGTAAAGAGAACCCAGTGACCACTCAGATCAGCCTTCATATATGGCACAGTGCTCCTTTACATCCCCAGGCCTAGTAATCTTGCATGAGTCCCTTTTGGAAAGGGTCAAGGCACTTCTCTGGTCAAAGGGGAAGCCACATTCAGAGAGAAATCATAGGGTAAAGTAAAGGCATTCTTGTAATATCTACATACAGTAGCAGTTCTAGCCATAAGCACAGGAGGAAAATGTTCCATGGCCCACTTTCCTTATCCTGTCTTCAGTATATTGATCCCAGCTTGCCCAGTCCTCCTAGCCCTTTTACTCAATGTTGAGTGCTCTCATTCAACCCAATCCTCTACTGTTTCAGGGACCCATCTTGGGAGTTTTAGACACATTGGGTGGATGCATATTTCCTGGTCTTCTACCCCACCAACATCTGTCTCCTGGTGATTTCTTTCCTTTGGTTGCAGTCTTAGTCTCTGTTGCTCCACAATTTTGTCTCTGTTTCCCCCTGCCATCTCACCATGGACCTGGAGGAGGAGAAACAGAAACCTATAGGTCACAGCACTAAGCCACTCACAGATCTGTTTTTGCTTTGCTGCAGGATCCTGCTATAAAGCTGCCTTGTGCCACACTGACAAGTTGTTGATTATCAGGGCCTCACCCAAGTAGGAGTTTGGACCTACAAGGCTTAAGTGTGGCCCTGGTTGGGGCTGAGCAAGGTGTATATTATAGGAAACCAGGATGCCAGGCCCTAGGGTGAGATGAGCCTAAAACTTTAAAAAAATATATATTTTATGTGTGTATTGCCTGCATGTAGGTAAGTGCACCTGTGTTGTACAATGCCCACAGAAGACAGAAGAGGCTGTCGGAGCCCCTGGAACTGGAGTTATAGACAGTTGTTAGCTGCCATGTGGGTGCTAGTATTTGAACCTGGTTTTCTGCAAGAACAGTCAGTGTTCTTAACTGCTGAGCCGTCTCTCCAGCTTGAGCCTAAAACTTTTAAGTCTGGGCTGCATTCTCTGCTAAAGGGAGGGGCGCTGAAAACAGTAGCTCAGATAATCCCTGTCTTGCAGAACACTGGGAGACTGGCAGGAGAAAGCAGCCAGGTCATAAGTGCAGGTTCCCTGCTCTGTGGCAAAGTGCCTTGGTCAACAACATCTCCCTGTCCTGAATGAATAACTCAGGGGTCATTAGCTAGGAGATTAGGCCAGGTTAAAGATTTACTCCTGAGCTAAAAGCTATAAGTTTACCATGCTTTTAGCCCTAAGAAAGAAAACATTATGTCCAATAAAATATCAGACGGGCTTTGGTAACCTTGTTAAAACTTTAAGCTAGAACTTCCCAATGACCTCTTCTTGATAAGTGCCTGTCTTGAGAGACCCAAGTATGCCTTGCTCGGTGGGGAACCTTGCTCTGGTGATGGGTGGCAATACCAACTGGCAACAGAGTCTTGGACCCTGGGGCTTGTGTCTTTACAACAAGCTGTTATTCAGATTTTTAAAAAATCATTAAAAAAATTAATAACTACATGATTAGAAGAAGCATTTCATTACAGCTTTAAAAATATTTTATTATTATTTTTATTTTGTGTGTATGCGTGTATTGCCTGCATGTATGGAAGTGCACCTGTGTTGTGCAGTGCCCACGGAGGTCAGAAGAGGGTGAGGGATCCCCTAGAACTGGAGTTACGGACAGTTATTAGCTGCCATGTGGGTGCTGGTCTTCTGCAAGAACATCCAGTGTTCTTAACCACTGAGCCATCTCTCCAGCTTTTTATACATTACAAGGAACTGGTAGTCATGTGGGATATGGAAGTCACATACAAAGATTTGGGGCGCAAAGAAACAGGACATATAGTCTGTTAGTTGGTGCCAGAAGGACGGTAATTGCTTTGGCTCCTGAAGGCATAGCCTCAGCCAGGGCTGTTTGAAACAGTGCGCTGGATGCTCTGCTAGTACAAGTCTTAAATGCTACACGTCCCTGCAACCATTTCTACTTTGGCCAGAGGGGAAGCACTTCTGCTATGCTAGGAAAGAGGCAGCTATGATCTGTGCTAAGAGGCCAAGCTGTGATTGGGCCAAAACATAAGCCTCAAAGATTGTGATTGGTAGTAAAAGGCAAGGATGATTGATTCAAAAGAATGTCTATTATTGGTCCAAACATTCCTTCTCAGGCTATAAAAGCAGGCTGCTCCGGCTTGTTCAGTCAGTTGGTTAGAAGACCATTGTCCATGCCGCTTCCTTTGGTGTTGCAGCATTGGGCCCAATAGAAGGAGTATCTCAAGTAGTCTTTTCTTGCCTACTTTCAGTAGTGTTGGTTGAGCTGGTAACAGGGAGGAGCAACAGAGTTGGTGCAGAGATGTGGCAAAAATGTGAGTGACGGCAGAATGATGGCCCAGTGGAGCAGTCAGGAAGCCAAACTGTGAAAACAGTCAGGCAGTCAGCTTCTTGACAATTGAAGAAGCAGGTCCTGTACCTGAGTGATCCCAACCAGAGCAGTGGCAGCATGTCCCCAGTACCTGGCTCCTGAGCATCTGAGCTCCTGAGGGCAATCCGGGTGGGCAGGCAGCCATCTGCCTGACAACTGAAGAAGCATGTGAACAGCTCAAAAGCATCCGAAGCAGGAAGAAGAAGACAGCGAAGAGCCAACTCTAAAAAGGCTGTAAGAGGCCAGAGAAGGGAACCTGCAGGCACTGGTTTCCAGAAGAGTTCCAGTGAGCTGTCAAGTCTTTGGGGCTAAGGATTTCAGATCCAGGCTTAGAGCTTTAACACTGACCATTGCCAAATGTTAAGGGTCTTGATACCAAGGCCTACATAAGGCTTTTAATTCTAGAGGATGACCCTTACTGCTGCTCCTACCTGTCTAGTGCTTCTGCCAAACACTGAGAGAAACAAAAGCTGCCAGGGATGGGCATCTGAAGACCTACTCCTTGCCTATCCATGGTTTCTATCTGACTAGAGTGAAAGAAGCCCCTGTGGGCTGGTAACACTTGAGTCTTCATGACTTTGACTGCTGTGGGTTGGGAGAGAGAGCTTCTTTGAAGAGATACATTCACTATCACCCCACAGATGGAGAATGTGACAGTAGGGAGCCATGTGAGCAAATGCTGTGTTCTTTTCTGTGTTCCTCTTCTGTGCGACTGTGTTCTTCTGAGCCACTGTGTCCTTCATCTTGAGAGCTCCTCCTTGCTTTTTAGGACTTGCAATTTACTGGATGCATTCAGCCTGTTGCTCAGTCTACATGTGGCTAATTTGACATTTTCTTTGAAAGTTAAACATATTAGCCATGTGGCTCAGAAATTTCACTATCAGGTGTTATCTCAGAAAAATGAAAGCATGTGATATGATTATAGAAAGTCACATCTGAAAACATTCATGACAGCTTTATTTAAAAGAACCCAAACCCAGACTAGAGAGATGGCTCAGTGGTTAAGAGCACTTGGGTGCTCTTGCAGAGGACCTGGTTTCCATTCCCAGAACCCACATGATGGCTAAAAACCATCTGTAAATGCAGTTCCAGGGAATCTGACACTCTCTGTAGCCTCTGTGGGCATTGTACACGTCGTGGATTTAAATGTATATGTAGGAAAAACACTCATACACATTAAAAAAAAGATTTAAAGAACCCCCAAATCTCAGAATTGGTTGTTAAAAAGCAAGACCATTGCATGTATTTGCCTTTTTGGGCACTTGGCCATTTTCCTTCCCACTCTCTGCCATGTTGTGAGGCAGCCAAGTGTATCTTCATCAGTGGCCCAACAGCAGGCAGGTTCTCTTTTCTTTTTAAAAAAAGATTTAAAAATTTATAGGTATGTCTACATGAGGGTTATGTATATGTGAGTTCAGGTGCCTGCTAAGGCCAGACGAGGGAGTCAGATCCCTTGGAGCTACAGTTACAGGTGGTTGGTTGTAAACAGCCTGTTGTGAGTGTTGGGAACTGAACTCGGGTCCTCTCTAAGAGCAATATGTGCTCTTAACTTCTCAGTCATCTCTCTAGCTCAGCTCTCCAATATTAAATTGTCTGTCATTGAAAACCAATCTAGAGCCAGGCATGGTGGCATATGCCTTTAATCCCAGCACTCGGGAGGCAGAGGCAGGCGGATCTCTGTAAGTTCAAGGTCAGCCTGGTCTACATAGTGAGTTCTAAGCCAGCTGTGGATACAGGGAGACCCTGTCTCAAAAAGAACCCCACCGCCCCCCAAAAAAAAAGGAAAATTAAAAGACTTTGAAGTTTTATTTTAGAAGTTTGCCACCTATAAACCAAAGGGAAAGTCCTCATTATATATCAAATCAAGTGGCACCTTGACTAGCTTCTGAAACAGCAATAAACTTCTGTTGTGTGGAAGCTACCAAGTTGTGATACTTTAAAATCTTTATTATTTTTAATTATGTCTTATGTATATGTGTGTGTCTGCCTCTGGGTGTGTGCACGTGAATTGCAGGTGTCAGCGAAGTCTAGAGGTGTTGGATCCCCCTGGAGCTGGAGTTACTGGCAATTGTTAGCTGCCTGATGTGGGTGCCGGGAACTGATCTCAGGTCCTCTGCAAGAGCAGTGCTTGCTCCTAACTGCTGAGACATCTTTCCAGTTACCCAGCTGTAAAATTGTTATAGTCACTTGAATGAACAAAGACACTGGGGTTTCTGGTGCCCAATTATTCTACTGGCTCTTATTTATTTGAATAAGACCAGGGACTTGGGTGAAAAGTAAGAAAGTTGTTCAGTTACCCAGGCTCGTGAAATTTTCCCCAAGGGACATGACTATGAATGGAGGGCCTAGGGAGTCAGCAGAGAGAAGATAAAGCAAGTAAGGTGAGGTAAGGAAGTGAGGAAGGAAGGGGTCCATGGGCTATGGGGTGTGCAGGAAGGTGGTGTCCACTGAGGCTTACTCATCCACATCTGCCTGGGGTATTGTTTTGTATATAACAAAAGTGAACTTCTGGTAGGCTTGGCAATGTGCATAATGCTATGGGTTCTTCATAAATGTTGTCTGAATGGCTGGGTGGCTGCATGAGTGTTAGACTAAGCCCAGTGTCTTCTAAGGGCATGTGGGCACTTGGGGTTGATTCCACCTGCGCTCAGAACAACTCTGTCCTCAGCACAGGATATTACAGCTCTGTATGTTTGTTCTCAATGTTCTTTAGCTCCTGGATCTTCTGGGGTAGGATCTTGGTCCAGAACTGAAACCTGTGGGCCTTCAGGGCACGGCCCACAGCAGGGTAGATGTCCAGCTGCAGGTACTGTTCATCCTGATCAAACATAGGCCAGTGGGGCAGGTCCTTGCTGTTAGGGTTCCTGTGGATATGCCCTCCCAGGAGGGTGGGGTTATGGTCACTCTGAGTCCTGCTGATATTGGATAAGATCCCTTGAATTGAGTCAGAGCAGTGGACCAAGAAGGCCAGGATTGTGGGGATTTAAGGGGGGCATCCTGGTACAGAGAAACATGAAGCCCCACTAGTGCCTGCTCCATGTGCAGCAGGGCCCCTGATAGAGGCAGGCTCTAGAGAACAGTACCACAGTGACATGACCAGGTCATGGAAGATGATCAATGGCTGGAAGCCACAAAGGATCCCTGTATAAATGTGTCCTGACATTGAAGAGGAGGCTAGCATGGGTTTGAAGGATCCAAGCATGCTAATGAGGCCACCACCTACAATGGGAGCCCTTTGTAGGTACCTGTCCCTGGGAGGTTGAGAGAGAGACATTCTCTTACCCATTTTGGGCAAAGTTGGCCCAGTATTTCATTACCTTCCTGCTCAGTAGCTCTTCTTACTCAGTGAGGTCAACTGCAGATGGGAGGACAAGGGTTCAGGCCCCAGCCACACCACTCAGCTGCTTGGTCATGCGCCATACTCACCATCCCAGCTGAAGTCTTATCTGGAGACTAGAACCCTTCCTTCCTAGACACTCAGGATCCAGGCTGCCTTTTTCCCCAATCTGCCTTATGCTGAATCTACTTTGGGTTCATTCTCTTTTTAAATTTTTCTTTTGAGACAGGGTCTTACTCTGTAACACTGACTGGCCTGGAACTCCTTATGTAGAGACCAGGTTGGACTTGAATTCACAGAGCTCTGTCTTCTAAGTGCTATGATTAAAGGCATGTATCACCATGGCCGCAGCCTTGAGTTCATTTGGCTCTCAGGGCCTCCTTTCATGTTACACTGGAAAGTCATTTAGGGAACAATGATGCATTTGAATCTCCTGCATCTGTTTCTATGCCTGACACCATAGTTGGCCAGGATGGAGGGAGCACATGTTGGAGTGGTAATGAATTTGTATTCTAAATCTGTAGTAGTTATTTGTTGTGTAAGATGGTTACATACCTGGTCTAAACCTTCCTCTGAGCCTTAGTTTCCTTAGCTGGGCAGTGAGGGAAATCATTCCTTATTATCCTAGTTCCTGGGGATTGAGGAATACTCACTCTTGCTGCCGCAGAAGGATCCAAAGACAAAGGGAAGCTCATTGCCATGGTCAGCCTTCACGTAGGTGGCTTGATATCCTTGAAAACGTTGGGCTGATGCTGGAACTCATAAAAGTAGACAGGTGCTTGGGAACCTGGGGGCAAGGATACATGGTGACATAGTGGCCCCTCATCTGGAACTGTTGTGTCTCATCGTCTCATCGGTGGTTATAAGATAACTGATCTGGATTTAGACGTTGAGAAGGTGGCTCTAAGATGGATCTGAGGTTGTGGCTAAGGTCTTGATAAATCATGACCTTGGCTTTCCTAGCTGAATAGTTTAGGCAAATCACTGAATAGCACTAACTGCAATTTCTGCCGTTGTAAAATGGGGGAGATGTTTGTGACTTAGAGTAGTCATAAAGATTTACTGAGCTAAAGTCCACCAAGTGGCATCAGGGGCTCAGTTAAAGACATGGAGATGGCTTGGTATAGTGGTTCATGCCTGTAAGCACAGCATTTGGGAGGCTGGGGCAGGCAGATTGCCATGAGTTCCAGGGCAAACTGGGCCATGGAGTGAGACCCTGTACTGCCTACCGTTCCTTACTTCTGTGCCCCCAAAGACATGGGTGGAGACCTGGGCATTACAGAGCTCACATTTGACCTGCTCCTTTGGCATAAGACCTCAGTTACAGGTGTACTTACGTTGAAAATGTGCTGTTGTAGTGCAGGGATCACAAAGATGGTATCTGCCATCATCTCAAGGAATTGAGCTTGGAGGGTCTTAGGATCCTCTGTGTCTCCCATGTATTCTTCTATCCCCAAACTCTGGAGGCAACGTCTAGTACAGGGGGATCAGGGAGACACAATTAAGATCTGGGGTAGGGCAGCAAAAGCCTCAGGGCAGGGACATGGAGCCTGGGACATAAAGCACATGGTATAGGAGAAAAGTTCAAATTCAAGTCACATCCCACCCATAGGCACATTTTATTTTCATGGACATCTTGGCCTTGGAGGATCTATGGAAATTCCCTGTTCACTGGAGACTAACACCAAGAATTTTACCAACTGTGCTGAGGAATTCTGCAGATAAGCCTGCAAGGTCTCTCTGTCCGTTTCCTTAGTGATGTCAGATATATTCATACCCTGAGAAGCAGGGGGTTATCTTGAGTTGAAGGGTGGATGACCCATTGTTCTAAATCCCTACCATCCTCCCAAGCCTGAGATCTCACTGTGGGAAGAAACCTGCCAAATTCATCATTGTTGACACCAATGATGCCGGTGACAGGGTGAAAATCAGCAGAGGTTAACAGCTCCTGGGGGTGTCTGGGAAGAAAGGCTCCATCCACACCAGGGATAGTTGTGAAAGCCTGAGAGAACATTCAAGATCAAGCAATAATGTCATGTACAAGAAATTTTCTTATATCCTTTGGGTACCTGGCTTATCCCTAAATCCCACCCTAAATGGTCTCATGTCTGGTTCCATGTGTTCACATCCAGTACTACCAAACAGTGTGACCTGGAGATGAGGTATGAGTGCCTGAGACATTGAAGACCATGCTGGCCTTCTGCTCCATATACTAATACCACTCTTCTACACCTATGACCATTGGGACTGACCTTGTTAATAGCTAGTATTTCCTCTTCTCTCTTGCCCCTCAGGCACTTCACCAGGGCCCCTGAGTCCACCTTCTCACATCCAGACAAGCTGGACACTGTCTGTAAAGGAACCAGGAGGGGGTGGCTCATCCTTTTAGGAAGGGAGATAGGGATTTTGCCAATATCCCAGCTGAGTGCAAGTACTCAGCAAATCTCATTGGTAACTATGTGGACTGTGACAGGTGTGAAATTGTTCCCACTTTCCCGACACAGAGGTGACAGCCAAAGGAGCCATCCAACCTACTCACATGGTTTTGGGTGCCCTGGGTATAGCTTTGCTGGCCAGAGAAATAGCCTGTGTGAGGCAGGGGGTTATGGATTCTGAACCTTGAGGCTCTCAGCAATTCTCAGGAAGGCAGCAGTTCCCAGAACACCTGTATGGTCCTTACTGTTCTCACAGCACAGACAGAAAACTAGAGGGTTTGAGAATGAGGGCTGAGGTGGTGGGCCAGGGCTGGAGTAGACCTTTGTAGACCACCTCAGAAGTGTTGGAGATGAGGTTAGGCAGCACAGCCACCCCACTCTCCATGATGGCACCGTAGAAGAGTCTTTGGGACAGAGGGGACACAACATGTGAAGATACACTTGTGCCACCCGCTGACTTGCCAAAAATAGTGACATGGTCAGGGTTGCCTCCAAAGTAAATGATATTCTGCTGGACCCAGCGTAGGGCAGCCACTTGGTCCAGGTAGCCCCAGTTGCCTCTGGCCTGCTGGTCTCCAGTGCTATGAAATGGCAGGGAAAGGGATCTCAGGGCTGTCCTGTTTCTCCTCAACTCCCATTGCCCAGCATAGCCCAGGCTTACCTGAAGAAACCCAGGACACCAAGGCGGTACTGGATGGTGACCACCACCACATTCTCACTGGTGGCCAGGATGGATCCACCATATAAGGAAGCCATGCTTACAACAAGTGCACCACCGTGGATCCATACCATCACCTGGGGGAATCAAAACAGGTGTCAGGAGGCTCCCACTCAGCCCAAACAATGCCTTGGCTGCCCTCTAGCCTACCCAACACTCTCTGCAGCTCTCCATAGAAACATACCCCATAGTGTCATGAATTGTGCCTGGGTGAGGAATCTTAGTCAGGAAGACCAGGACTTTCATCTTTTATTCTGCCTCATGCATCCTATCCTGGCTCCATTCCTCCCAGACGCCCTCTGAGGTGGAAAGAAAAGGGGTGTCTCCCTAAGTGTGCTATAGTAACATTAATCAAATATCCCCTCCACTGTTACTGGCTCAATAGATAATAAATAACTGGGGTATTTAGTGAGCCCAAATTTCAACCTTTGAGTAGCTCCTGAGTTGGTCTCTTGAACACGAATTAGCTAAATGAATCTTCAGTATACTCCTGGACCATGCCCTCTGACCTCTGGGAGTTATCAAGGCGCTCAGTCCCCATGCCCATGGACCAGCTGAATTCCCTGGGTGAGAAAATACATTTTTACTTGATAGTGGGAGGCTTCTCATGAGGGTCAACACTGCAGCAGAGCCCATGCTAATCTTGCTCCTTCTAATTTTTTGCTGAATAAACATCCTCCCACTCCCAGCTGACCATGGCCTAACGCTCACTGGCAGGTTGGAGCCCTCATGGTCATGTGCAGGTGCGTAGATGCTGAGACACAGGCAGTCCTCAGACATGGAGACAGAAGGTGGGGTCAGATTCAACAGGGCCACGACCAGATCATTCATTTTATCAGCATTCTGCAGACACCTAGTGACAATGGCAGTTATTCTAGCATCTGTGCAGTAGTCAAACTAGATTCTAGATACAGATTTACTGCAATTCTCAGGAAGGAGCCATATCCTTTATACCCCTCACTCCCTGATGCCCTGTTGATCATGATTCTTCTCTAAAGTCTTTCCTTCCTCTGGGGAAGCTGAGATAGAGCTCAGACTTCCAAAGAGACCCTATAGCTTTTGGGGACCTTGGACCCCACTTTTCCTGAGGACGGGAGCTTGTGACTTGGCAATCATTGGCTGTATATTACATTCACTGCTTTCTATTCTTCTTCTTTTTTTTGGTCTTTTTGAGACAGGGTCTCCCTGTAGCCTCAGGTAGCCTGGAGCTAGCTGTGAAGACCAGACTGGCCTTGAACTCACAGATCCACTTGCCTCTGCCTTCTGAGTGCTGGGATTAAAGGTGTGTGCCACCATGTCTGGCCTCACTGCTTCCTCTTAACCCATTCAGGCTTGGATTAAGGAAGCTGCCTCCATATCAATACTGCATGAATGAATGGAGCTTAGTTTCTCATAGGGTAATAGGAACCCCTACCCCCAAGCCCAGAATCACAGGGATTCTCACCTGTCCTATCATGTCTAGGTAGAAGAACAAACACTTGAAATGGCACCTGGCCCTACTGCTTGGTCCAGTGAGTATAGAACCCAAGGACCCAACATTGTTGTCCTTATCAGGTCCTGTTGTGCCTGCTGCTGGTATCTGGGCGTTCTTATAAGTTGGTAGAGCCAACCCAAACTTTTCTTAGATATAACTTCCCTTAGTGGCAGAGAACACTAGACATGGTCCTAATCAGAGTATACCTGTGTCTGCTCATGTCTTCAGTACCTGCAGCTAGCACCCTGTGGATGCCAGGCTCTCAACTATGAGTCTGACAAGGTTATTACAATGGTGTGCCTCAGCACAGTTGATGGAAAATGTTTATGGGAATTGCCTCCCCTGACAGAGGATAAATTGGCTTTGAGGTTGAGATGGAAGAACTATTGAAATTGTCCCAGAATTCAGTACATCTGGCCACCTTAGGGCCTGAAGTCTGTTGGACCCCAGGAGAACTTATATGACTGGATGGGAGGTCGCATCCTTTACACCATTCCATGGTTCAGGAGGTTCAGGGGGTGCAAACTGCAGCAGTCCAAGAGGTGGCTTGGCAAAGGGAATTCCCAGGAAGGTGTGGACTCCTACATCAGTGCCTTTTACATGGATGAGGCTGCCTTGCACCTGCCCTATGTATGTGGTCCTGATGGATTCTAGCCTGTGGGAGGAGAGCTGCCATCAGGTTGGGGTTGCCCAGTCAGAGACCAACACCCAGGGTGTTGCTGCCTCTTTGTCAACCACTGCTTAGCCTTGTCAGGTGATTTCACAATCACTGGCTCCATACATTTTCTTCTTCTACATGATGTCCTGTCCCTACCACTGGGAAACCCAATTTTTTTTGACTGCATTATTTTATTTTTATTGAGAATTTCATACATGTATACAGTGAAATATGATCAAATCTATTTCCCCTACAATACATTTCTCCCCATCAGCTCCTCCCATAGCTCCCTTAACATGTCCCCCTTCCATCTTCATGTCTTTTTAAAATAAATAATTTATTGAGAATTTCATACATGCATATAAGGTGTTTTGATCAAATCCATGCCCACTCCCTCCCTTCCAACTCCTCCCATATCTCCCCATTGATAGGTAAAGTAGCCGTATGATGAATAGGGTTGATCAGGAGAAAGCACCAGGACACAGATAAAACTCCATTGGAATAGAGTTTATTAGCAAAGGAACACATGGGACAGATTCCCTTCAGGGCAGGGAAAATGTCTGCCCGGGTTGTGAGCTGGGATCTTTTTTTAAAACTTAAAAAAAAATTTTTTTATTATTTTTATTTTATGTGTATGCATGCATTGCCTGCATGTAGGTGCAGCACCACAAATACAGGGCATGGTGGTGTATGCCTGTGATTCCAGTGCTCAGGAGGCGGAGGCAGGAACATTGACGTCTAAGGTCATCCCGCTCTACATGGTGAATTTAATATCAGCCTAGGCTACATGAAACCCATCTCAGAAAAAACAGTAACCCAGATTTTTTTAAAAATTGGGTGGAGGGGGAAGTGGGAGAATGGGACTGTTAAAACCTGCCCCCCTTTAGCGACCAAAGGGGAAGCCTGCTGTGTTGGCCAAACAGTGGAGAAAAGTCTGCTTCTCTTGACTTCAAAGACCAGGGTTCTTATCAACTCAGTTCCCTTTTCTCAGGGGCTTGTGAGGCCCTGTTGGCGAGGGAGCAGGGCTATCTGAACCTTAACACCCATCACTTTTTTCTGATAACTTCATGTACTCTTTCTTCTTCTTTGTCTCTTTTTTAATGGGGCTTTTAGCTACTCTAATATTCCCCCCTCTGAAGAGGTAACCCTAAAATCTTTTAAGGATTAGATAAAAGCTCCCAAATATTTTCAACACTTTTGACCTTTGGAACAGAGTATAGGGCAACCCAATTTTTATTTGAAAAGTACATATATTTATATGAAAAGTTCAAAATTCCCATATTTATTTAACACAAGGAGGTTTTGTGGGTGTGAATGCCTGACATGGGGGTTGTGTCTCCTAAAAGGGGAATTGAGGTGGTGTATTCTGTGAATACACTAAATACCATTGAAATGTACACTGGGCACTGAGTTTGCCCCAGGGAACTTGATGGCCCTTGAATCTCTTACCCTAGGGGTTCCTAGTGTGGGACCCAATTGTCTATTCCCAGTTTTCCTAGATCAAACCTTCCCTGTAGGAGATCACACTCACCTAGTCTTCATGGCCCAGGCTTCTAGGATTCTTACTACAACAGACAAAAGAAGGTGGGACTCATGACCTACACCCCATATGGCTTGTCAATTACAGTTGGCACCCCATGTCAGTGAGTTCAGCATCCCTCGGTTCAACCATCTTAGAGATTTTTAAAAAGAAAAAATAGTCTTGCATCTATACAAATCATGCTGAGGATCATGTAAGCCAGGGTCCGTTTTCCTGAAGGATGTAGAGCTGGCATTGAGGAAGTAACATCTTACTAGATGCACATCAGCAACCCTTATTTATCTATGGCTTACAATTCTAATGATGAGACAGGAATGCCTCCTTTTTCTATGTTCTTCAAAGACCAGACTGAGGTGAAGGGGAGCAAATAGAACAATTCCTAAGATATCTAAGAAGCCATGGAGGTATGATCTGCCTTCCAGTTTTCAAGAAGTCTATGACACACCATACTTTTTTCATGTTATTCCCTAAGAAATATAGAATAAGAACTTTTACACAGCATTCATATATATTTGGCATTATAAGTAATCTACTGCCTTCAACATATAGATGCAGAGGGTCTATGAAAATACTAGGCTATTTTATGCAAGGGATTTGAATGTCTGGAGACTTGGATATGCACTTTGGGGTCCTGGTCTCCATTCCTGTGATTATTGAGGGACAATGGTATTTTTTCTGAATGTGAGTGTAAGCCCAAATCCTATTACAATTGTCTTACATTTATTAATCTTATTTTTTATTGTATGCCTGAACTCATGTACCTATGTGGACATGCATGTGTCAAGGTGCATGTGTGGAGATCAGAGGACAACTGGCAAGAGTTGGTTCTCTCCTTCCACTATATGGGTTCTTAGAATTGAACTCAGGCCATAAAGCATTGGAGGCAAGCACCTTTACCTGCTGAGCCATTTTGCTACCCTTTCCCCAATATATGTATTTTTTTTTAAAGACTTTTTAATGTTTCTGATATTTTTTTTCTGTAATCTAACACCTATGGCACCAAATTTAAACATTTTTTTAGATAAGAGGGGGATGACTTTCCAAAAATCTGAAAAATTTCCCCGTGCTTTTATGCTATCATGAAGTAAACTGGAACCACTTTGTGAACCTTCGTGTCACTGCTTCACATGTGTTGGGACAACCATTGTCTTGTTCCTGTTTGCCCTTTGGTTTCACTGTATCTTAAGTGATTGCTAAATAAAACCTATCACATTAAAAAAAAGGGTCTTTTTTTTTTTTTTCTCCTTTTGAGACAGGGTCTCCCTGTAGCCCC